GGATGATATCCTCCACGATATGGACCAGCAGATGCACCATAACGTCGAAGAATGCGGGCGGGAAGTACATCTCAAGCTCGCATAGTATCACCACGATCTCTTCCTGTAGCCTTCTGAGTTGCCTCACGCCAATCGACTTCCGAGAGATGACGTCGAAAAAGTTGCATAGGCCAAATAGGAGGCAGGTGAAAAACTGCTCGATCTCCTCCTGACTTAGAGTGAAGCACCTGCAGATACCCTGGTTACTAATGGCGCACTTGGTGCGCCATTAGTAGTGTTGCAGAAAAGTAATATATATATATATATATATATATATATATATATATATATATATATATATATACTAATGGCGCACCAGGTCATAGTGCGCCATTACTAGTCTAAACTAGTAATGGCGCACCTGGCCAGAGTGCGCCATTAGTAGTTTTGCAAAAAAAAGAATAAAAAGAAAATACAGTAATGGCGCACGATCTGCCTCGTGTGCCATTACTAGTTAGAACTAGTAATGGCGCACTTCGACCTGATGCGCCATTAGTATGTATGGAAAAATGAAAAAAAAATTAATACTAGTGGCGCACCATGTCTCTGGTGCGCCATTAGTGTCTTCCACACTAATGGCGAATCACCGTCTGGTGCGCCATTAGTATATAGTAGTGGCGCACTGCTTCCTCGGTGCGCCATTAGTATCAATCCTATCTATAGCCCTTTTCCTAGTAGTGAGAGAACGGGGTTGATGGAGTCGTACTCGTCGTGATCCAAATCACCGAAGATCCTAGCGCCGAATGGATGGCACCTCCGCATTCAACACACGTACGGAGCGAAGACGTCTCCCGCGCCTTGATATAGCAAGGAGGAGGGAGAGGTTGAGGAAGAGAGCTCCAGCAGCAGCACGACAGCGTGGTGGTGGTGGAGAGGCAGTACTCCGGCAGGGCTTCGCCAAGCTCTTAACGGAGGAGGAGAGGTGTTGGGGAGAGGAGGGGCTGTGTCTTGGATGTGGTGTGCAGCCCTCCCCTCGCCCCTCTATTTATAGGGGAAGGGGAAGGGGGCCGGCCCCCTCTAGATGAGATCTAGAGGGGGGCGCGGCCAGGGGGAGGGGGCTTGCCCCCCAAGCAAGGGGTCACCCCCTCTAGGGTTCCCCCAACCCTAGGCGCATGGGCCCAAGGGGGTTGCGCCCAGCCCTCCAGGAGCTGGTTCCCTGCCCACTACGGCCCATGAGGCCCTCCGAGAGAGGTGGCCCCTCCTGGTCGACCCCCGGAACCCCTCCGGTGGCCCCAGTACAATACCGATAAGCCCTCGAACTTTTCCGGTGACCGTATGACAACTTCCCATATATAAATCTTCACCTCCGGACCATTCCGGAACTCCTCATGATGTCCGGGATCTCATCCGAGACTCCGAACAACATTCGGTAATCACTTACAAGTCTTCCTAATAATCCTAGCATCACCGAACCTTAAGTGTGTAGACCCTACGGGTTTGGGAATCATGCAGACATGACCGGGACAGCTACCGGCCAATAACCAACATCAGGATCTGGATACCCATGTTGGCTCCCACATGTTCCACAATGATCTCATCGGATGAACCACGATGTCAAGGATTCAAGCAATCCCATATACAATTCCCTTTGTCAATCGGTACGTTACTTGCTCGAGATTCGATCGTCGGTATCCCAATACCTCGTTCAATCTCGTTACTAGCAAGTCACTTTACTCGTACCGTAATGCATGATCCCGTGACCAACCACTTGATCACATTGAGCTCATTATGATGATGCATTACCGAGTGGTCCCAGAGATACCTCTCCGTCATACGGAGTGACAAAACCCAGTCTCGATCCGTGTCAACCCAACAGACACTTTCGGAGATACCTGTAGTATACCTTTATAGTCACCCAGTTACGTTGTGACGTTTGGTACACCCAAAGCACTCCTACGGTATCCGGGAGTTACACGATCGCATGGTCTAAGGAAATGATACTTGACATTAGAAAAGCTCTAGCAAACGAACTACACCATCTTGTGCTATGCTTAGGATTGGGTCTTGTCCATCACATCATTCTCCTAATGATGTGATCCCGTTATCAATGACATCCAATGTCCATGGTCAGGAAACCGTAACCATCCATGGATCAACGAGCTAGTCAACTAGAGGCTAACTAGGGACATGTTGTGGTCTACACATTCACACATGTGTTACGATTTCCGGATAATACAATTATAGCATGAACAATAGACAATTATCATGAACAAAGAAATATAATAATAACCATTTTATTATTGCCTCTAGGGCATATTTCCAACACGAACGACTCATGTTGCAAGGCAATGGGGCTGATTGAAAATTAGGTTGTGATAAGGTGGTCGTAGTCGACTGTTCGACATGTTTCCGTGGACATTGAGGCATGTTTGTTGCCGAGGATTCAGAGCTATGGCTGTGTGGTCCATGCGGTGATGATCATGTGCAATCATTGGCTCAGCTTGGTGATTCTTCAAGGTGCCAGCCTGCATATTTCTTGTTGGTGATGTATGTGCCCGAATGTTTGGCGGTTCTTCATGTGCCTTGTGTTTTGTTGTGGCGAGGGCTTCACTGGTGGTCATTGGCGGTGGAGTGAGAGTTGCTCGCTCGAGGAGGAGTGATAACGATAATGCTACTAATACTACCTCATCTATGCCTTTCTTCTTGCCACTTTGTGTGGTGTCTTGTGTTGTGTGCAATCTCGGTGTGGAGCCCCCAATGTGGGATAGTTGCATCGGTTTTAGCCTGGTTTCCTCAATTAACCAGGCAATTATGTTCTTTCCTAATTAAGTTTTCCTAAGAGGCAGTTGGCTCCGAGTTAAAAAAAACCGGGAGGACATGCTATGCAAAACAAATAAATACTTGACCTAATAATATTGTTGTTCAACATATACTCTTCGGAACGACTCATTATTTCATGAACATGCAACTTATCTTTTGGAATCAATAAATTGCAATAATTATATAGTTGGAATGTTGTCATCGAGAACGGGGAATGAGCAACCCATGCTTTGTCGCGACTTATCACCGTCACTATTGGCCACAAATAACCGTCACAATTATCACGTTGAACGTTTCATATAACTCTTTAATGTCCGCCTCACGCACTCTATATAAGAGACCCAAGCCTCAGATGCTACATCATCTTACATATGATAAAAACTTGTGTGCTAGTGTTGATATATTGTTACAACATACAAACATGTGCTCCAGGTGGTTGCGCCGATGCTAGTCTTCAAGCGTATCATGACTGGAGGCCTATACACATCCAAGGTTCTTCTCTCTCACATGCTAAGCTATTGTTTGTTGTGATTTGAAATATATTGTAGTGTTTGGGTTGTGATATGTAAGGCAAACCACCTGTGCAGTAAGCCCAAAACATAATGGTTTGGTCATATTTGCCTCACACAAAACTTATATACTACGAGAAAAATAATAGAGTTTATGGGGCATATGTGAATTATCTTTCTATCTATTTGTGAACAAGGCTATTTCTATATGTAGATCTAGACCTCTCATGTATGTGTCAAAGATCCATAAAATGGATGGGATAAAGTACCATTTGTTTGTTAAGTTCAGGCGAATTATATATATATGCAGATCTAGATCTAGACTATCTCATGGATAAAGTGTGTCCATTTATGTGCTCGGTTCATTCAAATTTGAAGTGAGCAAGGGTATTCTCATAAGTAGCCAATTACATAGGAACATGCAAATTTTGGTGGAAAAGGAAGTATTTCATTTGTGTGTTGAAGAGACAAGAAGTGTCTAAAACAACATTATGCATCTTATATAGTTTTTATTGCAATGAAATGAACATAGTGTACACCACAAACTTTACTTTCCTTGAATTCCACATGTATGCGAAACAGCAGTTACTAGCTTAAATTTTGGTTTAGGCCGAGAAACCACGCGAACTCCCTACCTAGTATCTGGCTAAAATTCCAAAGGTTTCAAGAGTGTTTGCAAACTGAAAAGAACCCAGTACCACCTTTGACTTGTCCATGCAAGGTAAATGTTGTTCTTTGTGGAATATATTTCCATGTATACTTTGTTTTTCATACACGAGTATTCTTTCAACAAGATATCTGCATGCTCGTGGCCTATACAACGAAACAACACATGCAAACTTCTGCATAATCTTTGGAAGCTTTTAATGGCGTGACCTATACTGGAGGGTCTTATCTTTGGCAATAAAACTTATCAGTTACTTAGGAAAAAGCAATTAATATGGGGCAAGGTAACAAAACGCACCATACCTTTTCCAAGGATAAGGCAACAGTTGCTAGTTACTACTAGCAGATATTACGGGAAATAAAGGGAGGAACTTGTACATATCCCCAGCAAAACTATGATCTGTGCTAAAGGGCAATCCTGCAGATGTAAGAATTCAGGTCATTAAGCTTGCGTGTAGTTCTGGACCCTGAAATCCGGTGAAAACTCCTACATATAATTGGCATGTTGTAAACTGGTTTATAGCAACAGCTCACATCTTCTGATAAGAAACAGTCAACAAGTGGCCTTTGGGTTTAATTAATCTTTATTTGGTGCTAAAGATAAGGAGTGAGAGAAATCTGATGGTGATGTTTCCTATAAATACTCCCCATCATTCCTAACGATCTTGCAAACCAGAACAATCAGCCCTCACATATATAAGCAGTGATCATCCTGTAGTGATATACTGATATGGCTGGAGGTGATAATGGAGATAGTTCAGGAAGGAAGCACACCCAAGAATTCAATTCATGGGTAAATGGCATCATGATATACTATCAATGTTGATGTTTGTGATTTCTATACTGTGGGGGGTGTTTCAATGTTTATTGTTTATAATCTCCGCATTTCACAAATACCGTTTGACCGAGCCAGCACTTTTTTCTAGCTAGGTATATTGAAGTAATTTTAGTACAACTATATCATGTATACTTGCTCATCATTTCTGTATACGGTGATACTGTTGGCAGGTGGCATGGCTGGAGACGATGGATATAGAAGACCTAAAGGAGTATGGTAAGGCAAACGGAAAGATGTTTAGCAGTGAAATGAGAGCAGCATTTAAGAGGGTAGGCCTTATATATATATTCTCCACTAGTTATTCTTGGAACTTAGTTTATTCCTATAGAAATCATAGTCTATATATGTGTGGATCCAATTAATTTTCTCATGATTAAGTAATCCTCCTTTGCAGGTCCTTGAGCAAAAGAAACAACAACAACAACCACAACCACAACCACAACCACAACCCAAGAGAAAAAAGAGGAGGGCCGCGTTGAGTCCAATATTGGGTGCAGTGTTGAAGTTCCACAAGGACGATGGACGATGATACCAATTACCAATCCTCCAGGAGGACTGCGTTGAAGGGTCTTTGTTACCCCCAATGGTTCTATAGATTGGTACTGAAAAGTGCTTGACTAAATTATCCTTTATGGCTATTTATGTATCGTAATAATAAATAAGTATGTGTCTGGAGTTAGTGTTGTTCGTGTTGACCAAGTGTGGCTTGGATGTCATCCCATGTAAACGCTAGTTTATGGTAATAAAAATGTGTCCTATTGTGGAGCTCATGTTGCCATGTTAGCCATACTGTAAGACTTGGTTCCTCTTAAGTTGTAAGACTTGGTTCCAGGTACCACCGGAGTTTGTATGCTCGGTGGTGGCCTCGGAGTGTGTCGTGATTTAATTAATACTCCCTCTGTAAACTAATATAAAAGCGTTTAGATTATTAAAGTAGTGATCTAAACGCTTTTATATTAGTTTACGGAGGGAGTACTAAAAGGCACGATTTCCAACTAAAAAACAGATCCTCTTAAGTTGTATATCATAAAATATTCTTCAACAACATAACCTTTTGAGAACTTGAGTCTACTGTTATTTTAGGGGTAGAGTGTTTACTGCTTAGGCGCATACAAGTCAATTGCTTTTATTGCCGATTTCTGGAAAAAAAATACACAGAGCAAAATGAGTACCCAGTTCGGTAAAAAGTAAATGGTTAGATATTTGGGAGATAAGTTTGGTATGTTCGAGCTTCACATGAATTCATGCATGTGCAAATGGCAGGACATGAAATTGCTGGGGTCCGCAAAGCTCACACCGGTGTTGAGCAGCGCTACCACACGGAGTGGTGCCTTAAGTTCCTCACACAAGTAGCTATTAATATGTTCGCGTGGTTTCTAATTCCAACGCAGTTGTTTTCTTTTTTTCTCCTTTTTCGTGGGGACCAACGCGGCTGTTTCGACCAGGCTGAATCCAAGTACTCTCTCTGTACCGGTACATTAGACATCTTAGGTGGTGCATCGCGACTAAGACGAAGAGAAAAATGACATAACTTAATGTTTATTTGTTAATTAATACCACTCCATGCCATGCTCGGTAGTTTTTCATTGAAGGCACACATGTCCCACATTTCATATTGGCCGTTTTCTTTTTTCATGTCACGAAACAAAGTATGAGGTCAGAAGTTAATGCATCGCGCCTAAGCGTTTTGACATTATTTAATTTTGGTAATGTGCCTAATGCACCGGTACGAAAGGAGTAGCAATTGTTCTGCAGCGGTGATGCCAATTGCCAAACCACAATGGAAACTAAACTAATGATTCAGAAACCAAGAACAAAACACAGAGCTAGCAGGTCGATGGAAGCGACCAGATTCAGCTTCAACCTCGACCCTCGGTTGACTTTCCAGTAATTTTAGGGAGTGGGAGTAACTAAACATCAGACGTCTGTTTTTATATTTGTTTCAGGCGGGTTTTTGTTCCATTCACGGGCCGCCTAGCTAACCCGTTAACACATACAGTAGCTTCCCCTGTTAGTGGTGTGGCTATAGCCCCCAACCTCCTCCCCTAGTACCCCAGTCCAAGCCTTGCATTTGCATCACTTACTCCGAAAATTCAGAAAAGAAAAAATATTGAAAACATAGAGGATAACCTTGGTAGATTGAGAAACATAGATGAAAAAAAAGAAAAAAAAAGTGAATTCCTCCAATTTCTTTACAACAAAAGAAAGCACATGCGTAACACCACTTCTATGTGCATCTTTTCCCTATCAAGAAGATGTATAGAACTCAAAACAAAAACTGAAACACACAAGAACTTGGCTGCATGTAAAATCCCATTTCTTTTCAAACAAAATGATGAGTACTAGTGGCAGATTACCCATGTGGCAACAAAAATGTGAAGATTAAACTCAAAATGTTGTTACTACTTGTACTGCATACTGGTAAAACTCTAAAAAATAAAACATACAGAAACTGAAAACTCGACAAATACCTCCAATAAGAAACAATGATGGGGGGATTAGATTTTACCAGCATAGCGGACTGAGGACTGGCACAAGGAGCATCCCAGCTACTTCACCTGAGCTTCCATTTTCCCTGGATTCGATAAAAATCTTTTTTATGTTTGTTTGCTGAATTACAAAAGAAAGTATAGTATATAGCAGTGTTTTGTGTGCTTCGAGTTAGAGGGGAACTTACTTGGGCCCTTTCAAAGTATACTGAATTTCAGATAATTGGAAGTTACTCCCAGCATTGAAATGCTTGGTCCGAAAATTCCAAAAAGAAAAACAAAGCTGGAGAAAACTAAGCACACAGCCCCTACTGTTGCAGCCCTCCACCAAGTAACTAAAGAACATAGAAAAACTAAATACTGACATTAAGAAAAAGAGGCTAATAATTGAGCAAGGACAAAAAATTAAGGTCTGGATAAACAAAGGACTAGCATTTAGAACTTAAATAAAAAAAAAGGAAAAAACTATAGCCATAGCAGAACTGAAGTTACTACAATTATATTGGAAAAAAAAGATAACAAGAAATACTGATAACTTACAAATCAAGTACCACATGAAAGCATGAAAAAAGTTTCATACTCCATGGTTTACATACTTCTTGACGGCGCATACCCCGAAATACCAAAATAAGAGAAAACACACATAGTTTGTCAAAATTGAGGCGCGACATATTTAACTGACAGCAGAACAAAAGACGGCGACAACTTAAGCATTGACCCTGATGGTCATCTTAGATTGGGTTGACAACAACCATCATGTCAATTCGTCCAGTGGACTGTTCCTGATGGTGATTAGCTCTGCCAACCTTTAGGTCGTTCTCCTCCGTAAAATTCCTCCCAGTCATTATTGTTGAAGGCGATACGACCTACGGCTACTCTCTTGTACGCGCAGTGCTTACTGTACCTCCCCCAAGAACCCAGTCATGCCTGCCGTCGGGGTGGCTGTCAGGCTGGAAGTTACCTTAAAGGTAATTTCTGTTTTTTTTCCTGTCCATCCAAAAGGTGAAGTAAAAAAATAGAGAAGAAACAAAAAGACACAAATGTCGGTGGCCAACTCACAATTTTTTTTAATAAAATGAACAACACAAAAATAGAAGGAATTATGAAGAAACAGGACTGATGCATGATACAAATAACCTAACACACGCAAACTTTTTTTTTGAGGGAAAACCTAACACACGCAAACTGATACTAAGAACTAAACCAAGCTGAGAGACGAAAGTAAAACAGTGCTAAAAATATAAATTAGAGACTAAAAAGTCATAACTAGATCATGACTAAATTGTCAAGTGGTAGGAGTTAGGAGCCTACCGGGTCTAGGGTGTAGATTGTACGGGAAGGAGGAGGGTTGGCAGGGGCGAGAGCGCGGCTGCCGGCGGCGGGGCGCCGTGGCGCGTTGGAGGAAAGGCGGCGGCGGCGCAAGGGTGCGGCTAGGGTTTAGGGTTCCGGCTCCTCTGGGAGCCGGGCAATAGGATTTGTCTTATTACTTAATTCTGAAAATAGTCTTACAGCTACTATATATAACCACGATGCTAGAAAATAAGATAACTTGTGGGCCAAGCCCCTAACTAAACCTGCCCGATGGGCCTCCTACGGGCATAAGTCTGCCCGGTCATAACATCTCTCCCCACCTGCGCAAACAGCTCGTCCTCGAGCTGAAACTCTGGATAGAGTTGGCAGAACTCCTCGCGTTGCTCCCAAGTGGCGTCCTCCGCCGGAAGTCCAGCCCACTGAATCAGCACGTACCACACGCCTCGATGTAGCTGGGCCTGCAAGACCTTCTCCGGTCCAGGAAGAAGACGTCCGTCGGCGGTCGAAGGAAGCGCGGGAGGAGCCGCGGGTGGCTCGCCACGGAAGGGCTTGAGCAGCCCCACATGGAAGACGTCGTGGATGCGAGCACCCGCCGGAAGCTGAAGGCGGTAAGCCACCTTCCCAATGCGCTCCAGGACAGCAAAGGGCCCGACATAGCAAGGACCCAGCTTCTTCTTCGCGCGTGGGTCTAGTGACTGCGTAGAGCGGTGAAGAAGACGCAGCCACACCCAATCGCCCACCGCGAACTCCGCCTCATGATGATGACCGTCATAGTAGTGCTTGGCCAACTGTTGGGCCTGAAGGAGGCGTTGCCGGACCTCCGCGAGCATCTCGTCGCGGCTCCGTAGAAGGTCCCCGACCGTCTCGATCTGAGTCGTGGTCGGATCAACCGGAAGAATCGTCGGAGGCGGCCGGCTGTATACCACCTCAAAAGGCATGGCGCGTAGGGCGGAGTGATAGGAGGTGTTGTAGCAGTACTCCGCCCACAAGAGCCAGTCCACCCATGCACGAGGACGATCACCTATGACACAACGCAAATACATGGCAATCACCTTGTTGACGACCTCAGACTAGCTATCCGTCTAAGAGTGGAAGGCCGTGCTCAGGCAGAGCTTCACGCCCACCATCCTGAAGAGGCCGCGCCACACATGCCCCGTAAAGACGGGGTCCCGACCACTGACGATCGAAGAGGGAAACCCGTGGAGGCGGACGATCCCGTCGAAGAAGGCCCGGGCCACGGACGCCGCCGTGTAGGGATGACCGAGCGCGATGAAGTGAGCATACTTGGAGAAGCGGTAGACCACCGTGAGAATGATCGATTTGCCGCCCACCTTGGGGAGGCCCTCGATGAAGTCCATGGAGATATCCGCCCAGACCTGAGATGGCACCTCCAAGGGCTGGAGCAGACCAGCCGGCCATAGCGTTCTGTATTGTTGCGCTGGCACGTCACACAAGATCGAACCCAGTCACGGACCAGGGCCTGATCACCAGGGATGTAGAAGTCGGCGCGGAGACGATGGAGAGTTTTCTGCACACCCTCATGGCCCGTCGAGTGGGCCAGCAGCAGCACCTGGTGACAGAGATCGTCATGCACCGACACAAAGACCCGGCGCCCGTGGAGGAGTAGGTCGTCGGTGAAGCGCCAGGGCTCCTCCAGGTCACCCACAGCCAGCTGCTGCTAAAGAAGAAGGGCGTCGGCTGCCGTCGCCGTCGCCCGTCGAATGTCGGT